AGAATGCTTGGAAATAAATTCTAATAGGTAAGTCTAATTTGTTTTCAATATTTGTTCAGACTTCGATTTTTGTCTGTAGTTGAAGACTAGTGAGTTGATATGCCTCATCCTGCAATCCTGTTTTAATTTCAGTGAGCATTTTCTTGAGGATTTTCTCAAGAGTTTTCTGAGGGACTGCCCACTTAAACAAAAGATTTGTTTAAATAAATGTATGGATGCACTATTTTTATGCATTCTCAAGCAAGTGCTCTGAAATAATAAAAAAATGTTAAGTGTGGAGCAGAACAGCCAGGTCAGGAGTCACCTGCATGAGATATGGGAGACCAGGTTCAAGTCCTTTTTCTGTCTGCCATTCTCCCATATCCCAAGTGCATGCCTTAACCACTAGTCTATAAAATCTGCCTTGCTTGCTTTGGTAGAATTAATATTTACTGGCTGATTTATACAAAGCAGAACAATTCCAGAAGGAGAGTGATCCACTCCAAAATAGTCAAGGAGCCTGGAGGTCAGGGAAGTCGCTTGGGATGTGAGATGCCTAGGTTGGAGTCTCTGCTATGAATCAGGCAGAACAGGACCTAGAATCAGGACCTCATGTCTCAAAAAACAAGTATCCTAATCACTTGCTAGTCTGTTATTTACCACTCTATTGATTTTACCAAATATCCCTCCCTGAATCAGATAAACCTTTTCCCACGAAGTTTAGTCAAACCAAGTATGTTCCAGAGAAGAATTTAAGTTTTGATAAATTAGCATCTTATCATTGGTTGGGGAACCTGGTATTCTATGTACTGTCTGACTGCCGACTCTACATAAGGCTGGTTCTGGCCGTCCTACTGTCTTTTTATCTCTCTTTTCAAGGACCAGTAGCACATGACTACTAACAACTCAGGAACATAAAATCACTCCAGACAATATCCAGAAGGAACCAGGTCATCAGGGGAAAGGTTCATGGCAACACAAGCTATTCAGGAAGTCTTGTGACAGGGTAGACTGGAAACGTCTATGTTGGGTCTTCAATGTTGGATGTTTTGTTTTCAGAACAATCTGTACTTTTAAGTGATAAGTAGTTGTGTTCAGAAATTCCATATAAAGCCTTGTTTCTCTCTTGTACTCTACTTATCACGTCCCTGAAGAGAGAAACTGTAAAGCAGAACAGCTTGTTTCTTCTGTTTGATTGGAGGAATTTGCAAGAACCCAGAACAGCTCGTGTCTTCTGTTTGATTGGAGGAATTTGCAAGAACTGCTGGGAGTACGAAGGGGGCCAGGAGGGGAAGGGTGGCTTAAGGAAGGTGTCATTAGTCTAATGTCAGGGCATAAGCAATGCAAGTGGGAAACCCAGGTGCCAAAAGTAATGTCAGATATTAGATTTGCACTAGGAATACCTAGGGTCCAAAGGCAGGGACAGAAAGGGCACATGGTCTTTAGCATTCAGCAGCAGTTTGTGCCCATCATGGAGTAATTGACCTAGCTGATGACACTGCCAGAAGAACACTTAGTCGTATTCCTGATGAGCGTTAATCAAGAAAACCAATGTGGATATTCCTGTTGGCTTTGTTCCTAGTAAAACAGGGGTTTAGATTGCTGGCTACTTCATCTTCAAAGGGCTGGTGGACAAAGCATAGAAGACAAAACATGGGCAAGGTGCTGGGATGTCTGAACCTGTCACTAAAATTAGAATTAAAAAGTTAACAAAAAATCAAAATTTCCTTGGCCACTAGATGGTGCATGGGGACTATCACTGAAGAGCTGGAGACAATGACAATAAGGATGCGTTTAGAGCTGGTCTCAAGCAATTTTAAAGGTAATTATATTATAACTTGGCCCGGTTCACATAGGGTAAATCTAACAGTTAAATGAGGTATTGCCAAATTGTGCTGAACAGCTATTGAGCTCTTGTTTTGGCAGGTAGTTGGAATGCTAGATTAGAGTCTCTCAAACTATGATCCGTGGCATTGTCCTCAAATGCACTATCCACTAGGTTATGATGTCATGCTTGCTCACTCTTGCCCATGTGCTCTCTCTCACCCAGTGAAGCCTGCATTCTTTACTGCATAGTGACACAGTTTCAGCAGGTATAGGTGAGCTGCCCCCCTCGCAATATAAAAGGTGGGTGAAAAAAAATGTGAGCCTTTGGAAAGCCGCTTGTTTTGGATGTAATTACCTATTTTTCAGGAGGAGCTTGTGCGCCCCAGATCCTGAGTGAAAGCAGGTGCTTAAACTCTAGAGCTTTCCTCTCTGGAGCAGTTCCTTCTTGCTCAGTATGTAGGGTAGTGATTCTCAACCAAAGACCCTTGAAATCCCTTAAAGGGTGCTGTATAGCATTAGCGCTGCTAGATGTGTAAACAGCTGCATGTAATTCACATTCAGACCTGTTGTAGCCTAGGTTCTTTGCCGCAGAAGATGAGGTTGGATTATTTTTCCATAATCAAAAATGAAGTGGAATCTAAGAGCTTGTATTTTGTAAGGGGTGTCTTGAGTCTAAAAAGCTTGAGAACTGCTGGTGGAGTTTCAGTACCTAACTCTTCCTGTGGAGTGCATAGGTACTAGGCACCTAATTAAGGGTTTGGGATTATGCCCCAGATGTTCTGCCCTAAAAATTAGGTCCTGCCATGCTCAACGTGTCAATCTCTGATTCCATTATTGGATTCAGCCAACTGTGGTTTAGCCTGTCACTTGGAGAGCAGAATATCATTCAGAATTACTGTCCTGTAAGCAGTTGTTCGATAGGAGTCAAAGATCATCCAAACTTCCTCAAGTTTTCCAACCAGATAAGAGAAGGCAGAAGTGCTGGGGAAAAAGGAGGAGTAAGCTTCATTACACTACAGAAATTAAAATGTATCATACCCCAATGTTTCTGAAGGATTTGGGATTGAATATATCTACCGGCGCTAAGTGCTTTCAGATGCCAGGTCAGCTATTTTTAAGAGAATCCCTATCATTTTTGCTAAAGTACCATTTTATTACTTAATCTGGTTGTTTTCTTTGCAGGTTTTACTGATGGAAACTGTATGCACTTGATGACTTTATCACACCTCTTCCTAGGTTGCCTGCTGTGCCTCAAGCATCCATTAATAGACAACACCACGCTTCCCTTCTCATTATGAGATATGTCAGTCATTTTAGACCTAAATGTATCTTTGTCCCAGATGAACTTGCTGTTATCTCATGTATTGTAAATGACAGCAGAACGCTCAAGTTGAAGGGCTGCCACGTTGTAAGGCTGTATCAAGATCCAACTTCCCCTCCCTACACTTGAGCATTGCATTAACAAAATGTCTGCACTGCCGCGATACTTGCACTGACTGCCCCAGAGCTATCTCAGGCCTGGGGGAATTTCAGCCTGAGCTTCAGCATGGCTGGGTTGCAAGCTGGGGCAGGCAATGATTGCATGTGAAGTGATGGGGCTCTTGGATGCGTGCCAGGATAACTGCTGAAGCGTGAGTCTATGACAAAAAAGGGATTTTCCATGATAAAAAATCTTGTGGTTCCAGCTTCTCCAACCATTTCGGCCCCTCATTTTGAATCAGTTTTTACATCTGCAGTAGGATGCTATAAGTGTGTGCAGAGCTCCAGGAAGGTATTTCTTTGGCAAGGTATGTCTTTAACTTGTAGAATTCATTGCCACAGGAGGTAGTGGAGGCAGAGAGCATAGCCAGGTTCAAAAGGGGCCTGGATACATTCATGGATGATGGATCTATCAGTGGCTGTTGAACAGAACCGTTGGAGATGTTCCCTTGGCATCTCTGACTCCATGAATGGTGGATGCCAGGGACATATAGATCAGAGTTTCTCAACCTGCGGGTTGTGACCCAAAAGTGGGTCACAAGAATATATATGAAAGGGTCATGAACAAACTTTAAACATTGATTCTCCTTTAAAGGAGATAAATGTGGGAAACTGTGGCTTTCCCCTTGCAGGCTAGCAGGGGTCCAGCCTGCAAGGGGCTGCTTCGGGACCCCTCATACTCCACATACTGGGGGCTGGGGGGAAATATGCAAATGAGTCTTATTCTTTACTTTATACTGCTCGCCAGTGAGTGAGTGAGAACTGGGTCCTCAAAGTTTAAGCATTTCTTTGAGGCAAGCAGCCGTAAGAAAATACTGACAGCAGACTGGGCTAAGACTGAGTGTAGGAAGCATTTGAAGACCCAGACTGAAGAGGCTGGGATGGAGGATGCTTCCTTATAGTTTCTCCGGGCATCCAAATTCCTCCAGGCTTGGGCCTGCACGTAGGATGTCTGCTAATGGATTTGGGAGTATCTGAAGTCCCAGGGTGAGAACCGGGGATGGAGGATGCCTGCCGGTTGTAGCGCCACACGCGCTGTTTGCAACGATTGAGTTCTGCCTGCTCCATCATTTTGGTTTTTGGAATGACCGAGTTTCGCTCAATTGATATGATTTGGAACTGTTTTGACCTGGAACATGAAATAAATTAATATATTTTTTTTTAATGTTACAACATTTAAAAAAAAAGTCAGCTAAGAGTTCCTGAGAGTGACTTGGGTTTTGCATATGCTGCATCAATTAGCTGCCTCGAAAATTATCCTACGTTTTGAACTTATTATTATTATTATTATTGATGGTACAACGTTAAAATTACGGTACATATACGAGAATGATCGTACACCTGGCACCACTGCCCGGCTGGGGGCGCTGCTGCTCCTGCAGCTCCCCCCGCCAGCTCTGATGCGCGGGCCACACGCAGCATCCGCCCCTTAGCCCCGCCCCTGTCGTTAGCCCCGCCCCAAGAGGCGTGCCAGGGCAGGGCGGGTGGGCACCCCGCGGGGCGGGACCTGCGCCATTATGTCCCCGCCCACTTTGAAGCGAGAGCTGAGGGGGAGGGGTTCGGTTGCCAACCCCGCCCTCGTCTTTTCCAACCTCTCGCGATACTTCCATCTTCCGCTCGGCGCGGGTGCTGAAAGAGGGGGAGGTTGCTCTCGCGAGAACTCTCGCTTTCTCCGCCAATCGCAGGCTGGGAGGCGGGGACAGGGGCTAGGGTTGATGGCGGCGGTGGCCGAGCTGGAGTCCTCGTTGGAGCTGAGCCTGGGCGGCGGCGTGGGTCCAGGCGGGCTGCCCCCCGCGCGCTCGCGCATCTTCAAGATCATCGTCATCGGCGACTCCAACGTGGGCAAGACGTGCCTGACCTACCGCTTCTGCGCCGGGCGCTTCCCGCAGCGCACCGAGGCCACCATCGGCGTGGACTTCCGCGAGCGCGCCGTCACCATCGACGGCGAGCGCATCAAGGTGGGCGGCGCCACCCGGCCCCGCGCCCCGGCGGGTGGGAAGGGAGGGCTCCGAGACGCCTGAAACCCCCTGCCCAGCCCCCACTCCTGGTGTTTTCGGGTTTGCCAGCTTCCCCCCTCAGGGGAGCTCCCTATCTTTGGCATTGGAGCCAGAGCAGGCGTGGACCTGAAGCTCATCATAGTTCATAGAAAATTCAGGTTGACAATTCAGGGAGCCTAGGAGGTCTAATCTGACCCCCCTGCTCACAGTAGGGCTGGCCCCAGCTACATCATCCCAGCCAGGGCTTTGTCTAGCTTGGTCTTAAAAACCTCCAAGGATGGAGATTGCACAGCCTGTCTGGGTAACCTGCTCCAGTGCTTCACTGCCCTCCTCATGAGACAGTTCTTGCTAATATCTAACCTAAACTTCCCTTGCTGCAACCTGGGATGGATGCTCCTTGGTCTGTCATCTGCTACCACTGAGGACAGTGATGGCAGATGACCTCGGCCTCCTTGTATAACCCCCCTGCTGGTAGTTGAAGGCTGGTATTAAATCTCCTCTCAATCTTCTCTTCAGACTAAGTCCAGTTGCCTCAGCCTCTCCTCGTAAATCCTGTTCCCTAGCCCTCTAACTATTTTCCTGGCCCTCTGCTGGACTCTCCACTGATCTCTACCCCATGCTGATGCTGACCTTATCAACTGATTGTCAAGCTCAGGACGGGGGTGCTACCTCACTCTATGTATGGCCCCATGCAAAGGAGCCACAAAACTATTCCCCATATTTTACAGGCCAACTTTGTGCTTGGTTTGCCACCTTATGGTGCTGTTGATTGGCTGAAGGTGTAGCACTGTTGTTATTCATAGTGCAATTGACATCTGAATCACGTTAAAGGGCCATAGTCCCCATACCAGACCAAAAAACTAAGGGCATTTATACACATGCTCAGGGGGCAGTGGTTTAATTAGAGCAGCTTTGAGATCCATTCTAATTAAAGCACCTGGAGTATTTCGTGAATCATCATCCCCATGCTTAAAAATGGCACTGCAGGCAATTTATTTAAAGCTCGTTAAAAGCGCCCCGGCTGCCATTTTTAAGCAGAGGAACGCTGATACACGAGACGTGAGGCTGCTGGAGTGCGGTAATTACCTCACTCCAGCAGCCTCGATTAATCAAGTCTGCCCCAACACGCTGTAATTTATAGTATCATTGCTCATGTATTGGCACTCTGTGTAGAGTAGGAGCAGAAACTTGCTTAAACAAGATTGAAACCAACATCACCAAATCTTAATGAGGTTAGGTCTTTGGTTCACTGAGTTGATATCTTATGTACCCTAGTAGGATGTCATCACCTCTTTTTTTTACTTTGTTTTGGTTTAAAACATTGCAGAGTTAGGGGGAAAGGAGTTTCAAATGCCCTTTGAGATACTGGCATAAGTTCTGTTGTAGCCATGTTTTAGCTCACGCCAGGTTGTGCACACAGCTGTACCCACAAAGTATATGCACACAAGATAGCTATGGCCCGGGGTCCCTTTGTGCCCTGTCCTGTTGCCTGCAGGGCTCTGGGCAGGCTGCCAGAATGCTGTGCCGATGCAGTGTTTGTAGCCCCAGCTGCTGTCACCAGCCTGGAAGGAGCGTATTGGCCAGATGCACACACAGCAAGGGTGGCACTGCTCTGAAATCCTTCCTGAGGCACAGCGGCCACAAGGGACATGCCCAGGAGGGAGCTGGAGAAGGTGAGATGCTGAGTATGAGACTGCTTGGTCTCTCCGGCACAATGATTCTCCCCCTTGTTGGGCTTGAGGCCTTCCTCTGTAACTTATTTTTTGAACTGAGCAGCACCCCATTTCAAAAACTAACTTAAGTATTACAGTGCTTACCTCCTTGCAGACAGGAGAGCAGTGGGGGTCAGGGATTGGTTAGGTAGAAACCAGCCTGAGCTTGCGCAGACTGCGTTATTTCTTTGCACCTTGTATGCACCTTGCTTATCACCACACTTTGCAGCACCTTTTTCTATCTGGCTGAGAATTGCTGCTCTAGATCAACATGAAGGCTCAGTGTTACAATTTACAACAGCAGCAGTGAGAATTTTACAGATTACTAGCGTTAAGAAATGACAGGCCACATGGAGCAAGTTACTACATATACTTAAGATGCCAACCATCTTGAGCAACTAGGTTAGCTTTTAGCAATGAAAGACTACAGTGTATTTCAGTGACAGCTTAAGGCTGTGTTCAGACTGCCACATGCCAGGTCAGGAGATCTAGTGCCAAGAATGGCAGCATCACATCTGCTCTTCCCTCTTGATTCTGATCATAGTTTTTGTTAGCTCTTATTCTTACCTTAAGCTTAGGTTGGTAAAAATTGATCCAAGTGTGAACCTTTCTTAGGGAGCTTAAAGGCTGCTAAAAGCAAACTTGTACAGCTCGAAACGTAGGTGCAAAACACAATTGCTTGCAAAATCTAGTGGCAAAATGTTTTAGTGTGGCTTTTATTTGTTTCTTAATAACCCAGCCACATTATATTGACATATACAGGTTTCCCTCCATTTATGCGGTAGAAGTGTTCCCAGGGAATGGCACTTAAAGCAAACCCGCTTTACAATTAAGTAGATAGGGATGCATTCCCAGGGTAGTGAGGGAGTGGGGCTGGGTCTAGGGAAGCGGCAGGGAGAGGGGCGCAGTGCAGCACAGTGGCTACAAGCAGGCGGTGTCTGCCGTTCCTGGGGCTGCAGCAGAGGCAGCACCGGGCTCTTCGTGGTGCTTAGGGTGGACAGCAGCCCCACTCACCCCACTTCTCCCCATTTACCCCACTTCAGGACCAGGCCCCACTCACCTTCCTCTGAAGAGCCTGCTGCCGTCGCCAACCCAAGTCTGCAGTGGCCGCTGGCCCCAGCCTGCTGTCATCCAGCTGCAGGTGGCTGCCCACCCCTGCTGCAGCTGCTCTAGGAGCGGCTGATACAAGCGGCTTGCAGCTGCTGCGCTGTACCATGCCCCAAACCCCCCAGGGCTCTGCTTCCCCATGGGCACTGAACCCCCCCAGCATGGTGCAGCCTAGCAGGTAGCGTCCACCGCTCCCAGAGCTGCAGCAGGATCGGGCAGCTGCCTGCAGCAGCCGGTGGCTGCTGCAGGCTGGGGCTTGCGCTTGGCTGCTGCAGGGTAGGAGGGCAGGTTGCGGGGGCCTGTGGCGAATTTGGGGTGGCAGCAGCCCCCCTCTCAATGCCATGGCCCACCCTGAGCGCCAGGAAGAGCCTGGTGCCACCTCCGGCCTGAGTCTGCAGTGGCCACTGGCCCCATCCTGCTGTTGTGCAGCTTCCTGCCCCTGCTGCAGCCCTAATAGCAGTGGATGTCACCTGCTTGCAGCTGCTAGGCTGCACTGTGCTGGGGGGTTTGGGGCATGGTGCCCCAGGGGAAGCAGAGCACCTGGGGGGTTTGGGGCATGGTGCAGCCAGAGCAGCTGCAGTAGGGGCAGGCAGCTGCCTACAGCCGGATGAGAGCAGGCTCTTCAGGGACAGGTGAGTAGGGCCTGGCCCCACGGCCCTTTACCCTCCCCTCACCCATCCTTCTGCTCATGGCCCTTTTTCTCCTCTCATAAACTCAGACTTACCTGCTTGGGGAAGGGCAGAACGCACCTATGCTGGTCGCATATATGACAATTTACCTCGCATATAACGAATTTCAGGTACAAAAGGGTCATTGCATAAGAGCAAATTCGCATAAATCAAACCCGCATAAATCGAGGGAAACCTGTACCATATATTAAAGTCCATATTATAGTTTGGCCTTAGGCACTGAACTTTAAAAGATAATGGAAGCATGGGAAATAACTATACACTTGGAACCGGGCCCAACGCCCATTTAATACAGTACAATACTTTTCTGTTTTGGTCCCATCATATTTCACTGATGATGTTTCTTCTTTTATGTGTGTTTGTTTGCATGGCTGCTGGCGAAACAACAAAGGAGTGTAGGCTTGCTAGGCCCTCAAGGCTTAGTCCCCTGTGTTTGCAGAGGAAACTTGCAAGAAATTCTGAAAATTGTCACTTCAAACCTTCTACACAACTACCAGGCACAGTGTCTAAAACACCAAGAACACTGTGTAACAACAGCCTGTAGGTAAAAGCAGGAGTGAGGAGAGCACTCCCCTGCTACTGTAATGAGGATGTATTAATTGGTTAATAGAATAAACTAGGAAAAGGTATGGGTGAAGGCAAAAGACAGTGTATGCTAGTCTGATCAAGGGGAAAAAAATCCTTTGTGAAGTCTCAGAGCTTCTCTTCTTTCCAATTCTGTGCGCCATTTTCTCAGCCTCCCATCTTTTTCTGTCTTCTATTAATTTTCCAATCACACATCATGCCAACACTGACTGTCCAATCACACATCATGCCAACACTGACTGTTCTGCTTTTGTTCCATCCTTTTTTCTTTCTTTTTTTAAGTTCTCAAGAATTCTCTCCTCTACACTTTTCCTTTCCTGGGTGTGTCCCCACAAGTATGCACGTGCAATTTGCAGTGCTTGCAAACCTGTTGCAGCACCACAAACCACACATACACATGTTCACTGAGCTGCAAATTAGCAGTGCACCGTTTTTTTCCTGGTGTCAAAAAAAACCCCCAACTTCATTAAATACACTAAAAAAAGCAGGGCAGTGCACATGGCTGGAGTGTGGTACCTGAAACTGGAGCCTGGCTGGTCAGAGCCATGCTCTGGCTATTGGCCACGCTCTGTGTGCCCAGATTGCCACTGGTGTAGTCCTGGGAAACTCCCAGGACCCCAGATAAGGCTGCTGGGGCCATCCCAGGTGCTGGCTTCAGCCTCCCCTACTTCACCAAGGTCAACTTGCTGCGTGCCAGAGCACATGTGCAGGGGCATGCATGCCAAGGGACACCTAGCAGCGGCACAAATATGTGTTGCTGGTATTGTGCCCAGGAAAATGGATGTTCCCACTCATGGGGACATGCCCCTTGAGGCTGTGTATTGCCCCTCCCTTTGGCTGAGAAACTGAACACTGTTGTTCCTTGGTTTGTTGGTATCCATTAGGTGTCATGAGGTCATCACTAGAGCGTGAGTGAGCACCCTTGCAGCACCATTCAAGTGTGTTCACTGCTTTGGGGGCCTCTGGAATAAGTGAGGGATTTGGTCCTCAATTCTAAAATAATTCCACCACTAGGCTATTGGGCCATTGTGGTAAAATATATTCCCTGCAGGGCATACTGGTTCCTTGAGCTTATCATCTTCCTTTTCAGCAGGCTCCTTCCATTTTCTCTATTCTCATGAAGCTCTAGGTCATTTTTTTTCTGTCTGTTGTTTAAAAAAGAAGTTTTGCCATTAATCCATCTCTGCTTTGACTGCTAAGGGTGCGTCATGTGCTCGTAGCAAGTGCTTATAGCACTTCTCTGGCAATGCTTGCAGAAAGAATAGAGAGAGACTTATGTGAGCTTTATTCTGCTGTTCTTGTTGTATTCTGGAGGAGCTGCTGAACTTTGGAATTTTCTCCCATTGCTTTGGAGGAGTGCATAAATTAATCTCCTTTTCTTTTCCTCTCTTCTTCCCTCCCCCAACCAGCTGGATGGTCCTTCTCTTGCTTCAGCACAGAACACTTCCCCTGCAGCTGTAGAAATGCTGTGTCATTGCCAGTAACATAGGCACAATTCTTCTCAACAGGATTTTCCCACATAGGCAGGACACAGGAGCAAGTTACGTTCCTGTCGTTGTATTTTGTATTGCTTCTTTTTGAAAAAACAGTGCTTAGATGTGATTAGGACATTAAGGCTGTCATTATGTGAGTATTTTCTCAATTTTTAACTTATCCCTTGAGTGGATCTAAGCAGTAGAAACTAAAGGAGACTATTTCCTACCTACAGGTTTTAATTATGTGGGTCTAACTTTAATGGAAGCTGTCGTCACCACTTTTTTTGAGGTTTGGCTTTTACAATTCTTTTTTTAAGGGAAAGCAGGGGAAGTATGTCTTCTAGTTCTGCAATTACTCAAATAAATACGTCATCGTTTTTAAACCTAGAGTTTTAGTAGAATTTTGTAAGGTTATGCTCTACCCAGGAGGACCTAATTTTAGCCCTTTCAGTCGTTATTTAATCTGTTCTTATTCTGAGTAGAAGAATATTCTCCATAAACCTTTTTTGGGGGGAGGTTCTTCCCCAAGCATGTTTTGGGATCATGGGACCAAAAGGAATGTCCTAGGTCTTTAAGTCCAGCCCCCCTGGTATCACAGGCACTATATTCTATTCCTTTATAAAAAGTAGTTATATTTTGTCCCTCTGGCTGCAGTTGGAAGACTGTTCTACAACCTCAGTTCTCAGACAGGTAGGAAGCTTCTTCTGATTTCCACATAGATTTATTTGTGACCATTTCATGTTATTGTCCCAGCACAGATTTTCTTCTTCCCTGGTGTTTACTCATGGATGTATTTATAGACAGCAATCGTGTTTTCTTGGCCTTCACTTTGCTGGAAGGGCAATCCATTTTAGTCTGTTCTTGTGTACAACAGGCTTTCTATTTCCCCTGATCATCCTCATAGCCTTTCTTGGTTCTACTCCAAGTTCATTTTCCTGGAACATGAGTGATTATAATTGTACTCAGTATCCCAAAGTGGGTCTCACCAATGGCATGTATAATGACATCAATATTTCCTTTTCTTTACTGGAGAGATTTTGCCTGACAGTATTTGCCTTTCAAGGCTGCCTCACAGGGACATCTCAGTCATACTAAGATTAACTATTATATCAAGATCTTCCTCCTCAGTAGTTTCTAACGACAATCCTCTGTTGAAAAAGATGGGGTTGTGCTGAATTTTAAATAAAGAAAACTATAGATCAGTCTGTTGTTGCTAATAATGTACAAGTTAGTCTAAGTGCTACATACAGCTTTGTGAGAGCAAAAGTCCGAAACCTTCAGCCACTTAAAGCAATAAAATCCCGGACAGCCCTTTATTCTGAAAATAATTTTATGAACATCTCTGTAAAGGAAATATGCAAACTAAGGATGCTTCAAGAGATGCACATAAACATAGCCAATTTAAAAAAATAATAATTTGGAGTTCTGTGCCTGCTCTTAATTTGTATTAATCTTAATACCAACTCTTATGGCTTTACAGTTGTGTTTTTCTGTCTTGTAAAATGTGCTTCTTTTCCTTGTTGCTGTGTGAAAGGCATCTGACAATGGAAAATAAACCATGCAGAAATACTACCGAATGCATGAAGAAAACAAACAAGGTTTAAAAATAAAATATCTGATTTTTTTCCCTCTAAGCTTTCATTAACACGTTACAAAATAGCAAATCAATGTTTCTCTGATTCTTTTTAGTTGTACTAATGTCACACACAACAATTAGATCACTGTAGAACATGTTTTAAGTAACTGCTCCTATATGTAAAATAATCAGTCCCTGTTGATATCAGAAGTTGATGCTATGGCCACCAAGATAAAGCACTGCCTGGCAGCAGCGGGGGGAGGGGCACAAATCCATGCCACCACATCTCACTTTGGCAGCCATGATGGCATGACGCTCCCTCCCGCATGCTGGGCCACAGAGATGCCTCCTCTGGAGCTGAGTCTGGCCCTGCTGCAGTGCACGTCCTGCTCTGGGCACAGTAATCTCGGAGGGAATATGCTCCCCGTGCCCCATTGCCTGTGCTCCTTTCCCCACCCAATGCATGGCCTGTCTCCACTTCTCTTCCTCTGCATGGCCTGTGCCGCAACCCCACCCCTGCCCTTGTAGATTTACCTGTAGGGAGCTGTGGGAGTTGTTCTCCATGCGCCTGGCTGCCACGTACGTGTTTGTGCACCACACGGTGCCCCTACTTTGATCGCTTTTCTCCTGCTCCCTGCAGCCCCAAGAAGCTCCTTGGAGGCTGGAACTCTGCCAGCCTGAAAGGGGAACCTACTGTTTCCCATGTTTTTCTCCTTTAAAGAGGAAAATCTGTGTTTTTCCACAACAAGTGGAAAACCAGGATCCCTGGTGTTAACTTTAAAAAGCTAAATAGGAGTATATATTTTTGGACATAAGAACATACCATGGAATACATAATCGTGATGCATAGGACGGCTATACAGCTCAGATTTTTTTGGTAATTGTGTAAATCTTAGTTCCTTATACAATTCATTGTACAAGCCAGCTCCACAGAAATAGTTGATCTAAAGGTCTAAAACCTATGGCCAACATGAGAATACTGTGGCGTAGAGGAAAATATATAGGGATTGAAGTAATTCATAAACTGTTGTCATATATCTTGCTGGAACAGAAGTGTATAGGCAAATCAATAAGGTAAATTCAGTTGTTCATAATGCATGTAAAATTCCATGTATTCTGAGTTTGGGGGGAAAAATCACTTCGTTAAAAGAATTTTTTTTCTTCAGATTTCTCCCTGCAAATGCTAAAGGGAGAAGACTTTATTTTCTGATGTTTAACCCAAAATTGGTCCATCTTGGACAACTAGGAAGTCATCATGCATGGTAGGGACTTTAAAAGTTCAGTTTCTCAACTCACTAGGGCTGAGGATCAGGTAGGTAACTTGTTAAACTATATAGCTAATCTAGCTTAGTTGGATGACTCGGCTTTATGAATGTTCACTTTGAAGTCCCTAGTTCTCCTGGGCGCTCTTTGAAAATGAGCATTAGGGTAAGTTCAGGTACTTGGAAATGAGATTCTGCTTTAAGTAAACGTTCCATATGGAGTGAGAGGGAATCAAAGATACTGTTCCTAGACCCAACAGATATCTAATTCTGTGGTAAAACTGCCACTAGGTAAGATAATATTAATTCTGGTAGCAGAAATCCTCTTCAGCAAAAACAAATATGCGCTGATATACATTCGTTTGCTACTTGTTCAAATAAAGCCTTTTTGCCACAGATTTCAATATCCTTTTGTGTCAGCTTTTACAAAATATCAGCATCAATAAACTCTTTCAGAAATCTGTATTGGTGATCAAGCTAAATGCCACACGGTAATTTCTTGGTATTTTTAATAAGGAGCAGATGGCTCTGCAAGGAAAATATTCACATAACATTTTGTAACCTTCTAAAATTCAGGCGAAGAAAATTCTTTAGCTCTTGAACTAAACCTCAGAATGTGATTAATTCAGAGGAGATCTATATGATTTTCATAGTTAGGAATGATTTGCATCATTTTCCAACATGAATCAAAACCAGTTCTACTTTTGGTCTGTTTTTGTTCCTTTTCCCATTTCAGATCCAGCTGTGGGATACAGCGGGACAGGAGCGGTTTAGAAAGAGCATGGTGCAGCACTACTACAGGAATGTACACGCTGTTGTGTTTGTGTATGATATGACAAACCTTGCCAGTTTTCACAGTCTGCCATCATGGATAGAGGAATGCAAACAGCACTTGCTTGCCAACGATATACCACGGATTCTTGTCGGAAATAAATGTGACCTGAGAAATGCTATTCAGGTGCCTACAGACTTGGCCCAGAAGTTTGCTGATACTCACAGTATGCCACTGTTTGAAACCTCTGCTAAAAGCCCCAATGACAATGACCATGTGGAGGCCATATTTATGACACTGGCTCACAAGCTCAAGAGCCACAAGCCATTGATGCTTAGTCAACCCCCAGGCAGTGGTGAGATACACTTAAAACCTGAACCAAAACCTGCCATGACCTGCTGGTGTTAGATCACAGTATTTATGCAGTCACCACCTCATTGTATTTGCAAATGCTTTAAAATTACCTTGGTAAAGTTCCAGGTACTAGTAGCAATTATATCAGATCTCTTTGGCACTTTAATGTGTTTTTTCTTGTATCTGTGTGCCCTACTCATCTCTTTGCACTTTGTAATTATTGTACTGTCTGAATTACTGAATTTTGATTGTACACATACAGGAGAAAAGACTTTCAAGTGAAGTTTAGATCGAGTGAGCCCACTCAAAGTCACTTGCTGCTTGAGATAATTTTCATCAGTTTTGGTAAGGTTATATATATAAATATCCCAATTTACTGATACTACTTTGGCTTGTATCTCAGTAGGATAACATGGGAAGACCTACTCCCTTAGGCCAAGAGACAGAGAATAGGTGTTGAGCATCTGGGGTAATAGTGGAAGTTGTTCTGGCTGCATTTCTAAACATCTACACACACAACGGCCTGCTGAGAAAAGAGGGAAAGGGTCAATATAGAATGCTCACATGGCATTGACCTTAATGGTCTGTCATTTCACATTAAACCATGTATTTTTATATAGAGCAAGGGGGAGAGAATTCACAAACTGTTGTCCTTGTCCTCCCTGCACAGTCGTTCAAAGCTAAACCTTGATTAATTTTTGTTTTTTGAGGTTTGCACATGTCCTCTGCTTTTCATCTTATAGAAGATAGTTTGGGTAAAAGACTGGGGTGGGATTTTATGGAAAACTCAGGGGCCTAATATCCCACCCAACTTCTAAGAACTAAAATTATTTAAGATCCTATTGAGATATTCTGTATTTGAATTGTTCCCAGGGTAAGTAAACACAGTCCAGTAGATTAAAACACGAGCAAAGTTGGCAGAAGTAAATATTGACTTTCTGGCAGGGGAGGAGGGGATTGTTTTTTAAATAGTCTGAAAAAATAAATTGTATGAAGAAAGTTAGGATGCATTTTTGGGACTAAAGCACTTGGTGGGGAAATGCTAGTCTTGATGCCCACTTGCCAAATATGAGCCTATGCCTTATTTGTTGAAAATGTCATAGCCACTATAATGTAATGGTATATACAGGTCTCCATCAAAATGGGATTGAAGGCTGCTGTTCTGTGCAACTGAATTTGCCTACGAACTTCTAGAATAGCTGAAGGTTAGTTCCTGTCTACACGTGTAAAGAAGAAAATGATACAGTCTCTTTAAAGTTTAGAGAATCTCATGCTTCTTTAAAATGCGTGTAAATTTCTATAGTGTACGTTAAATATGAGGAAGACTTAGTACATCATTTTGTCCATCCCCAAACAAGTCTGTCTCAGCTGTTTGCAGGCTACATTCTGTGTAAGCGGTCGCCTTGATTGATTTCTTAGCATAGGTAAGGTGAACTGTGCAAAAAATACGTTTTAGAACCTTCTTCATCTGGGTTTTACAGATACTGTAAATGTATTGCAATCTCTTCATTCCAGTTTTTTGTTTGGAGATTGTATTTCTTATTGAAAAGTATGCTGAGTTGCACGTAATCATATGGTAACATCAAAAGGGAATGCAAGCCATATAATTCAGCATATGACTTCATTCATGTGGACTGATCAAACTGTTTTGTTTGAACATTAAATGTTCAAAGAAAATTAAGTCAAAATGGAGAGCTGTGCTTTATGATATGTCATGCATAATGCTGACTGAAACTATTACAATGATCATTTTATAAACTGCCAACATGGCAGGTTATGTTAAGATAATTTAAGTGCAGAAACAAGATAATTGTATTAACCAAACTATGAAGGATAATAATGTCATTCTTTCTCCATGTTACATTCTAGATTTAGAAAGATCAATCAATTTTGACTAATCGGAATTAGAATTAAGAATTTTTAAATTTATTTTTTATTTGTTTTAAATATAAGATATACAATAATTTTTGTAAAGCTGCTATAACAACTATAATGGTAATTTTGTTTATGCAACATTTTGAAAAAGGGAAATCTATCTGCTTTAAACATTAAACAACTAGGATTTGGTTTACAAGCCTTCTGAGAACAATCAGCTTTTTAACAGTAGTGTCCTTAAAGATTTTTTTAAAAAAGGGATTGATCTTAAATTTATTTGTATAATATTACAAATAAGTATGGTTTACAGTCCTCTTGGACAGTTTTTTTCACTCATGTCCTTATACTTTTAAAAAAGGATTAATCTTAAGTGTTTGTATAGTATTCAAGTATTTCAACAAGCTTTCTAACCGTAACTTTTTATTTTTTAGAATAAAAACAGAAGGCAGAATTAAAGTCAGTCAGGGTAGGGGTTGACATAAGGAAATAAATTTAGTAGATATAATATAAATGTTAAACTCTATTACAACCACCTGGAAACCCGCTAAATTTTGTTTAAGTAAAATTTACAACTTGTAAATAAGGGCCCTGTGTCATCAAATCATGTGAAATAAATTTTAGCTATGTAATCTTGCCTTCAGCACCAAGCATGTTTTATTAGTTCTGCCACAGTGACAACAATTACTGATCATTAATTCAGGAACCAGTATGCTTCTTGGCTTTCAGTAGTAATGTCTGACACTCAAAGTCTTATGTCAAAGATACTGAATATTTTGTATATGTATTTTCACCCTGTCAGAATTCAAGTCAGGTAATTTTGTATCTGTTTAAAACAATATTATGTGACACAATCCCAGAAACCTAATAAACTGGCTTTGCCACAAATAATATTCCCTTGTTTTCACTTGTGTTTTGTGGGTTCTTTCTTGGTGGAGTTTACAAAAAATGCTATATGATGCTTAAGTAAAGAAAATAATCCATAGTCTTCACCTATCTAGATGCTCAAATGCCCTGTCATAAAGTCGTCATGTAGACAACTATTCCCTGCTCCCTTCTAGAATGGGCTGTTCCAGGTGCTTTAAGTGCTGCTGAAATCTCCAATAGGGGCCTACCTTTCCCTGTAGTTTGCAGCAGTTTTGAAAAGACCATGAAGAAGAAGAACAGGATTAAAGCAAGATAACTTGCTACCATTATTTTATCTCTTTGACCCTCTGTTGTGAGTAAACATACCCAGAAGACCTACTTTAGCATGCTACCACACCTGCAGCCTGGACCTGGAACAGTTCTTAAAGCAGTGTTCAAAGCTTTTTTTTTTTTTTTTTTTTTTCTTTTGCCTTTTTGAGAGAGAGAAGTTTGCAGCCCAACAGAGGGAGTCCTGCTTTTCAATAATGTTCATGGCCTCCTGCTAGGCAAGACTCTCAGATCTTACGTTTGGTGCGGTGTATAGCAGCTGTGTCCATCATTCTCCTGCCTTTTCCACCCTCCACCAGGGGTTTTGTTCCATTTCTAGATTTTATTTTTATTTTATTTTATTTTATTTTATTTTATTTTGGAGCCATGGAATGCTGGTCTTGCTGCCAATAAAGAGGGGCAGGTTCCCTGTATCAAGTGAATGAAACCATTTGCATCTGAAATCATGCCTGATGCTAAGTTTCTGCCTCCTGAAACGCTGAGGACCATAGATTCATCTATTCCACCCCCTTAAAAATGGAAAGAAGGGATGGTAAAAGGGGCCTATTGTGGCATCATTTATAATTCATAAGGCAGCTGGAAGGCTAACAGACTTTTATGTGCTGGGACAAATGTGAATTACTTTCACTGAGCAAAATATTGATTCTGTTTCTGGAAATGAGTGAGGGAGGAGACTGGCAAAAAAACTATATATGCTCTGTTCTTTTCCTTCTGATGCATCTGTTTTTCTTTGGGTAGTCTTAAATCACTTTGTTAACTTTTGGTCTTACTTGCTCTGGGCTGGTGCCTTCAAAAAATACAAATTTTCCAAATGTTATAATCCCCACCTTTCCTCAAAGATTAATCTATAAATTGCTATGCCAACAGAGGGCATAAGACCGAATTGGTGGTGTTTTTGAGTTAGAAAGGTCCAGGTCCTTTCTCAGTCCCAATTAACTCTTAAACTTTCCAGACTGGAGACCATCTTAGGGGCAGGAGCTACCGGAAACAATCTGATTTAAAGGGATCAGGTTTTCCATTTGCCATGAAAAAACACAGATTTTCTCCTTTTTAAAGGAGAAAAGCTTAGGAAACAGTGGGTTTCCCTTTGCAGGCTGGCAGAGTTCCAGCCTGCAAGGGGCTGCTTGGGGTGGAGGGAGTAGGATGCAGGGGGGGCACTGTGTGCATGTGAGCATGCACACATGTCACAACCTGGCTGCCATGTGTGGAGAGCAGCTCCCTCCAGGTAAAACTATGGGGGTGGACAAGGGAGCACAGACTACATGACAGGAGGTAGGAGAGCACAGGCAACATAGTGGAGGGGAGTTGAGAAGGGACATGTGCTCCCCCAGATTTCTGAGCCCACAGCAGGGTACAGGGCTGCAGCCAGGCTGGATCAGCTCCAGACAGGAGCCAACTCTGCTGCCCAGTGGGCAGGGCCCAGCACAAAAGGAAGTGCCAAGGCACTATGGCCATCAAGATGAGGCACCCCCTGCCTGCCCAGCAGCACCAGGGGCACAATTCCATGCCGATGCAGTGCCTCATCTTGACAGCTATGGGGGAGCTCCTGCCCAGAGCTGGTCCGGCCCACCTGCAACTCGGTGCCTGTGCCCCCTTTCCCCACACACCCACTCCCTTGCCCCCAGTGTGTGAGCAAAAAGTTGGGAGTGAGGGTCACTAGCAGGGCTGGTGGGAGGGCTGGGATGGGAGTGAGGGGCACCGACGTATCAGGGCTGCTCAGCACCACAAAGCAGCAGTGGAGACAGCCGCAGCTGGACCCGCATCCTAGTGAGCAAAGGGGGCAGGGGGAAAAACCAAAATTAAATGCTAAAATATACAGGTATTTAGAATTTATTTTATTATTATGATTGAGGCACTGATAAGCTTCCAAATAGCTTTGTTATTAGTGTTTCATTTTATCTGTGGAAAAACAGATTTGGGTGGTTTTATTGGATAATATGGGGTTTTTTTAATAGGGAAAACCAGGACCTTTGCTGATTTATTTAGTATAATTTGTTAGGCTTTTTGATTCAATGTATATAAAGTGATAGGGGAGACTATTACGAGCATAACAAAGCTCCCAGCCCTGATGGCGTCGTTATCTCACCGTGGATATTGCTACCTGGAACATTACTGGAGGCTGAGAGGTACCTCTTGGAGTTTCTGCAACTCAGCTCCACCCTCAAAATAAGAGAATGGGTGGGGGGAGAGGGGAAGAGAACTGTAAAATTTTCTCTAGTACATTTGTATATCTTCCTTCATCTGCTGCTGCCATAGTCAGCAATTACAGGTTGTGTTTGTGAGAATCCAGCAGCTCTTACTTCTGCCCCTCTACCTCTTGAAATGAGTGGGGTGGGATACAGGCAGAGAAGAAAGTAGTAGGACTTTCAAGAATTACGATTCTGAAAGGGACAGGAGACTGCCCCCTTTTTAGTAATAGCCAATGCAGATTCAGATCTGGGCTCTTTTCATCCTCCATCCTGAGCATGTGACCAAGTCCTCTCATTTGCCTCTGGTATAGCAGTTTGGATATCAACTCTGCACTGTCTTCCAGTGCAGGTCTGGGATCTGTATCTAGATCCTAGACCTTGTAATCTCAACAGACTTCTACAATCTTTCGAAGACCTTGATGGTGAACCACTTCTAGATACCTCTCATTCCTCTCTCCTTCCTCACCCATGTCTCTGCACTGCCCAAGAAAGTGCTAAACCTTCTACACTGAATATCATCCTTATCCTCACATTAGTATCACTTGAACCTATTAGAAATGGCAGTTGCCTTCACTATCCTCATGCTACCTCACACAAGCACTCCGTGGTGTTTCCCAAGTACCAATGTTTTAGTTTGCTTCAGTTCCTTGCATGCAATTTTTCCAGTTATCTATTCTGCATCCCTGACCTTTCTCACCTCTGACCTCTTCCTGCTGTGCACTAAATGCTTCCATCTCTACCATTCTGTCTTTTTGCCAGTGATGATGTCCTGCTGGCAAACAGCAAACTCCAGGTCCTGTAGCTTCTGCTATCCAATTAACTACTGCTTGTCAGGTCCATTCTCCATTGTATTCATTCTGTGACTTCATAAAACCAAAGGTGAGAGGTTTTACCCTTTTAGCAGTCGCTTATAATCTAGAACCAGTTTTGAGTGTCTGCTATTAACCTTAATCTTTCTGTAATAACTCAGTGAAGTTAAGAAAAACTTCCGAGGGAGACCATCAGGTCACAATTTCTTCTAGGTGTATGGTCCAGGGGTAAATCAAATTCCTTTTCAAAACTGATGAAGTTGATAGCATTTGCCCTCTAGTATGCCACATATTTCTCCATCATTTGTCTTAAGGAAAATATTTGTTCCAGTTTTAAAATTGGCCTGGCCCTGTCTAAATTTTTTCTCAGCTGCTCCATTTCCATGCAAGTATTGCAATGATCTTGTTTTGTTTGAGGGTAGAATTGTGTCCTTCCAGTGCCTGCCTTTTCACGTCACCTTTCTTTGGCAATCCAGCTGCTAGTCTCATGCACCACTCTGCAGGGACCTGTTCAGTGACCCAGAACCTGCATGCTAGTCTTGTTAGCAGATAGACTGCAGTGCTTCCTCCCGCTTTCACCTTCCTACAGGGACATTTTTGAGCCCAGAAGATTTGCCATTTCTCAGCTTCCTTATTTTGGACTGTGGTATCTACCATCTAAATTAACATTCAATACAAAAGAATCACCTGAGTCAAATACAGTGGAGCTGTGTGGAATCTGGGTGGTAGAGTAACTTGCTAAAAGGTCCCTTCCATGATCTTTTCCTGTTCTTTCATCAAAAGTTTACTGTCTTCATGTTTATGCAATTTGTAAGTCTGCCTAATTGCCTCTGTCACAATCGCATGCACTTTCTGTGCATCGTTCCTTCTCATTTTGCACCCAGGGTTTGCCTTGCCACTGGCATCTTCCAACTCAGAGGTCCACTTCTGAAACTCTTTATTTCCTTCCTCAAGTTAATTTCGTCCCCTTTCCCTTTCAAACCTGCACTCTCCATCAGATCTCCCCTCTTCATATATTACCTTGAACCCTCTTCCTTCTCTCGTCTGTTTCCCAAGTTTGACTTTGTCTGCAGCTTTTGTTTTCTTGTGGGGTATTTTGGGAGAGGGGAATCTTTCCATGCAGATGCTTATATTGTTATTCTCCATGTCCATGGTCTATAAGCCATTCATCACTGAGAAATGGCCTTCTGCAGTTGTCTTAATTTGGGGGGGGTTTCAGGATTAAGCAAATTTCTATGTCGCATCTTTCACATTCTCCCTGCAGGGTTCTTCCTTATACATGCCTCCAACTTAACTTTTGTCAGTTAATAAACAACTGATGCCATTGTGTATATCCATTTCCCTAAAGGCTCAAACATCCAGTACTGGTCTTAGCTATTTACGATGGCCAATCATATTCCTATATTATCCTTCCAAGGATAGCCAGGTAAAGTTACAAATGTTTTTATGCCAAGATTTCAGTCCATATCACTAGCTAATAAAAAGTCCACAAGTCTTACCCCACTATCATTATTTTTGTCCAATATTAAAGGCTGCTACCTCTCTTAGGTAACCAATTTCTGTTACTTTCCATTTTTGTACAGCAGCCTCTCATAACATAGTCAACTCAAGCTTTGGGAGGGCAGCCACCATGCTTTGAAAGTTAGTTAAAGAAAAGACTCTCTGCCTTATTACTCACATAATGCCCTCATGTATAAGC